TCACATCACCCACAACCCACAGAGCTTCCGATAAATAAAAACTTACATTTGTGTAATAAAAACTCTCTAATCCCTTGGCAAGATCGTAAGCATCCTTTGCAAAGAAGTAAATCCGGAGATCCTGCAAGTCAAATGTATAATAATAACTTTATTACACAACTTAACCATCTGTGGGCTTAGTAAGGTAAAAAAAAAAAATGAATACAAAAGACAAAAAAAATAAGACACACTAAAATTAAAATACACTGAAATTCAACATAGAAAGAAATACAAATTAGAAAATCTCTGAAAAAAATTGATTAAACAGCAGCAAGGTTCTCCCAGACCACAGTTACATATTTATCTTTCACAAAATTGTATTTTTTACATAATATGACAAAGCCATATTATTTCCCATTATTTTCACAAAGCTTTCCATTCTGGACAAGTCATTAATTTTTATTTTAAAATACTTCAAGACATGTTTTCTCTCTACTTCATAGAAATTGCAATCTAAGATGAAATGCATTTCATCTTCAATTTGATCTGAATTGCATTTTTTGCACGTTCTTTCATTTTCTGAGGTTTAATAATGAAGTTTGCAGGCAAGCAGTATTTGTGTGTGGGGGGGGGAGGGGTATGTGCAACTCTTTGGCGATTGAAGGGTGGGGTGTTATTTGCAACTCTTTGGTGATGAAAGGGAGGGGGTCAGTAACAGTAGAAAGTAAGAAGAACAAGTTGTATTATTTCAAAACATGCAAAAACGTTATTAGAAAATAACATTGCCATTATTAATAAGTTTGAACACAATAAGCTGCCCACCCCTTCATTGAAGTGGTTCCTTCCAAAACCTCCCAAGCCGACCCAACCCACGTGATACAAATATAAATGAGCTAAAACTAGATGTTCCGAAGAAACGTTCTCCGAAATATTACTATCATGATATAAAGTGTTGGGGGAAGTCCGAGAATATGCAAATGACGGGAAAAAGGAGAATATCTCAGTGAGCCTGCAAACAGCTGTCACAAAAATACCGATAATTAAACATAATGTAAAACAGTGAAAGCGTTTATTTTGTACACTACACGCGCCGAGTTTAGCGACTGTGGCGGCGATTACGATCACACACAACTTACTTTTCGGCGTTTCTAAGACATCATCAGGCTTAGGGTCCATTTTGCATGAATGATACGATATAACAAAACCCTAGTTCGCAGCAAATACACCGGAGCAATATATAAAAGATGTTTTCGCCAGTCTATCCTGAAAACCCGTGTGTGAAGGAAGCTCCATGCAAATCAGATGGGCTGATATTTTTCTGTTACCCGATTGGCCAATTGACGTATGTGACGTCACTGTCAGGCCTCCGTCACATGATAGTAGTACACAGTCACTTGATCAGTTAGACTTTGACCTCAGGTCACCTGAACTGAACTCCTCTCTATATATAGACATTGGCGATCTGTACGACGTGATAAGCGACGTGGTTATTTACACCGTAAATTTAAATTTTCACCGCACTGTTTTTTCGGAATATTTAATGGTTCTGTCCACAGATAAATATATCGCGTTGAAAGTCAAAGAGCAAAATGTGTTTATGATCTACGTCTGAACATTTTAGAACGATGTACACACATCAGTTTTGTTTGGACTTTACGTACTTTGTACCTGGATCACGCCATGTCCACGTGGGTTTGCTTTATCTGTATGAAAGAGTTTAGCAGGTGACACATCACATGACCAAGGGCAAAAGGTGGATTTAGCGGATCACCACTACAGAGATGACTATTTGAACGTCAGGGTGGAACTTGAAACCAAAGACACTCTTTGTTGAAACGAAATAACATGCACATAAAAAAAAAAGTTGGATAATTGCCAAAAAAAAATATTTATATAAAAAATCACACATACGTGAATACTTAAAAGAGAAAAAAATACAGCGACATCATTATGAAAAAAAAAATGTAGCTCAAGACCAGGTAAAAGAAAACAAAATAATTTGCAAAGTAGTAATGGGTACTAACTCTTATGTTTGAACAAATCCGGGGGCGGGGGGGTCACTGGCCTTTCAGTTTGGTAGAGGTTTGCGGTCGGGAAGTAAAACTCTAGATCCCATCATAGACACCTCAAAAAAACATACCCCATTATAGACCAAATAGTGATTTTGTATACCCCAGTATAGACCAAATAGTGATTTTGTATACCCCATTATAGACCAAATAGTGATTTTGTATACCCCATTATAGACCAAATAGTGACTTTGTATACCCCATTATAGACCAAATAGTGATTTTGTATACCCCATTATAGACCAAATAGTGATTTTGTATACCCCATTATAGACCAAATAGTGACTTTGTATACCCCATTATAGACCAAATAGTGATTTTGTATACCCCAGTATAGACCAATTTGTCACTAAGTTTATTCAGTTATTATAGGTTGAATCTACTCATCACCCGGTACTCATCAATAAAAGTACTAAAACTCGGGTAAATACATGTACATGGAAATTAAAAAACTCCATCCCTAGACTGACAAACCTCATATTGGACCTAAAGGCAATCAAATGAATTTATACCACATTCTAGACCAAACAGCTAAAAATTACGACCCCGAACATGAGTGGCGGCACGTCTGATTTGTTCCTAGCTGTCTAAACATGAACGTTGTTCAGACACCCGTTGCGATATTACATTTACGGTACTCATGACGTGACTCGAGACTGACTACGTATACCTGTTTTCGACTTTGTACACGGATCATACCATTCTTTGCACATTGACCTGACAAGATAAGTAGACCAGGTGACATATCACATGACCAAAAGAAAACGTGTGTGTCGTGGCAGTAGAGCTTCATGGCAACACAAGTGGTGAACAAACAAACAGCCCAAGACTAGATAAGATATGAGGATCTTTTGAGCCGTCGAAATAAACATCAACTATACTTGAATACTAGTCGGCTGACTAGTAGATAGTTTGCTGAAGGAAACATTCGTCCTATATTAAAATGCAACAACTATGACTTTACAGTAAACATTTCATTGCATGACGTTGACGACCAAAATGCCGACAGCGTGAGTGCCCCCCCCCCCCGCCCCCGGCAGTTGATACATAACTGGGTAGTGCTCAAAAGTGTGACCATTTTTATACTTGAATAGTGGCAAAATCTATACTCATATTTATACCAAAAAAGTACTATTTCTGTCATCACTGTTTATTCCAAATAAAACAGTTACTGTATTTGCTCTATTTGAAGAGCATCTCCATTAGAAGCACACTGAGAAATATGCGCCCTCTTCTATTCCGTGTTAAATGTTGATTGCCTTGTTTAATTCTCCGGGTTAATGTGTATATGAATCTGAGGCCGGGATCTGAGGTAGAAATATTCGCTCATATACGGACCCATAAGTATACCAAATCGGAAAAATATTACCTATATTTATACCTATCTTGGCCAGAAATAAGACCGATACTTATACCTAATATCCAAAAAAAAACGAGACCCATTTCAGGGGCTTGTTCCCATTAGGCAAGTTGTTGTATCTCCCCCCCCCCCGGCGTGAGTGCATTTCACGACCGTACTAGTTCTAACTTTGTGGGCCTGGCAAACAACGCGGCAATGCTCCCAGATGCAAGAGCTGTACAAATGTAAGATAGTGCAATTTACAGTTTTTATATTACTTTCATGCTCATTTTTTTCATACAACTTTTCATTTTCTAGATATTCAACCTTTTATCAGTAAAGCATGACATCACAGGTTACAGGAAATAAAAAAAGGCATTTTACGTTTTTAGAGGAAATAAAATGAAAATTCCATTTACAGTAAAAAAATAGTTTTTTCACACTTTACAGAGTTGCCCATATCTACGAATTTATTTATTTAAATTACATTATTACGAAAATACCCCTTGCCGACCCTCGACATCATAACTACTGTTGTGACAAATTGACAATATGATTTCATCTATAACTTCAAAAATAGGACTTCAAATTGGTTGAGTTTTTAGAACATGGTAGCATACATAACCCGATGCCAACCATACATATAAAATAGCAGCAAACTGAAAATAGTCATTTTTACGTGTTTCTACCTAATGACTATTTTTTTCTAATTATTGTTTACATCATTTCTAAAAAAGTAACTGTGAGGTCGAGTCTGTTTTTTGGTGACTTATTAAAAATACAGGAGACATATTCTCACAAAATCAAAATATTACTTGGAATCTAATATTATCGCCAACCAGAAAAAAAACAAAACAACAACATGCGATCGTAGTGCCACTCACCGTGACCGAGTCGCTATTAGGATTTATTAGTTGTCTGAGAGCAAACCGAAGTTGTTCAGAATCGGCACTTGCAGTCACCTATATTAACGATAAATACATAATTTGAAACGTTGCCATGAAAGAAATATACGAATTTCAATTGATATTTTAGTTGCACCGTGTTTTTGACTATTTTAGGAAACTCCCTTTTCCCTTAGACATAACCATTGTTTATATTTTATAGGTGTTACAAACAAACAAAGTAGTTAATCCTCATTAACACCTTCTTGATCTTGTCGTAGTTATGGCCTAACGACAAATAATAAAGCAGTACTTACACAGCGTACATTGAGTAAATATAAACTTGTATACTTGTCAGTGAAAGGCAAGATTTAGTGATAAATTGATTACCTTACTATTTACAAACAAAATTAATAGACTAGTCAGGGAAACCATTAAAACAATTGATTCAACAAGAATAGAAGAGCATACAATTTAGACAACCAACAAACCCAAAAACATTCTCATTTAAAAGTGTTTTTTTGTGATTCTTTTTTAATCTTGTTTTTATTCTCAGGTTATCAAAATTCCAAAAAGGATACGAGTTCAATAAAGATTATCAACATTACGTCAACATGTAAAAATTGAAATGAAATACACTCGGAACCACGGATTATTTTGAGAACCACTAAATTTCGATGATAATTTTCTCATGATTTGTAATAACATTATTACTATTCATATCAAAAATCGGACTCCCCCTGATGATATGGACTCATAGAAAATTACTGAAGATTTGAAGAAAATTTCAACTTGTGTTTGGATATTATGGTCTCTCCGTGGCTCGACCTGGGGAACTTGAAGAGCGCCTTTCTGTGGATAAATGAGCGTATGAATACAGTCCAATCAGGGAGCGAAGCTATGAAGGAAGACTTCCGAGCGAGTGAGTGATTTACCTTTGAACTCACAGTACACAGTAATTGATGACAGGGAGACTGTAGCATTATGTATAAAATTTGAAGCAAATATTTTCAAGTTAAAAGTTGATTCCAACTGCTGCTACATTTAAACAACTTTGCACACTATATATAATATATTAATTATCACTTGAGAAGTTGCTATTAGTGTACCGAAAATTAGAAAAAAAATGATTTTCAATATGGCGCAGTTGTAAGTTGACCCCTACCTAATAATGGTATGACCCCAAAGCACAGTTATCTATGACGTCATATGTTATTTCACAAGTGGCGTGCAATAAGAACTTCAATATTTCTGTGGAAGTGTTTTATAAGCGATTGTGTAAGGTTTTTTGTACAATTCGACTGGTTCAGCTCGTATCGCAAGCTCCCATATTAACTAATATATTAATTTAAACCGCATCTTTCTTTGAATAATGGCTGTACGTGCTCAGTTCGAGGGTAATAACGAAGTTGGCGTGTTTTCCAAACTAACCAACTCGTACTGCCTCGTGGCGATTGGGGGATCGGAAAACTTCTACAGGTAGGTATTTACAAAAATGTGTGTGTTCCGTTAAAATGTTTCTCGCGATTGTGTATGTCATGGAAAAAGGTGGATTTGAACCGCCGACGTGAAAAACAGAAACGGTATTAAAAAAACAGTGGCAGTGCGAGTACACAGTTCACAATGACGTTCTGTTTTCTAACATCTTTAAATATGACTTCCAAAGATTATTCCTCACACCACACTTCTTTTAGTGGTATGAATATTAATAACCGACACCACATAGGTGACTACAGGCTAAGCACAAGTGTGCTTGTACACTTAACGTATAATTTGCTGATAATTTAACTATTGATCACAATCATCAATTACTAAATTTTCATAAAACACCCAAACTTAAATCATCTGTGGTGTCAAACCCACCAGGGACAATCCCCCCTGCTACACATAAGTAAAAGAGTTTCTTTACGTCCCTACCTCTAAGCTAAACCCCTAACCCTAACACATAATTGTTTATGCCACTCCAGGTATATGCAATTTAAATGGGGGTGGGCCACCTGAGGGGCAGGGTTAGGATTAAATTTAAGGGAGGCCCTGAGGAACTCTTACCACTGAGGGCCATGGCTAACACAATCTCTTCATATGATATCAAGGATTTATAAGATAGGGGTGTGCAACTTTCATAACCATATACATATATGGTGATATGCAATGAAAATCTCAAGAGATTTGAAGTTGAAAGCCTAATCCAGTTCCTTTCATGTCAATTAAACCACAGTCCCTCAACACCGGTGTTGAAGAGCTGTGATTAAACATAGTTCAAACCAACAGTGTCTCAGAATATAGTAGGTGCTTAAAAATTTTTAATTGCGCAGAACGAAATGAGCAAGATTGTTGTCAAATTTAAAATGCTCAACACATATTTCCTTCTTTGTGAATATACACGGACACTACCAATAAAGATCCAAGTTGAGCATGCACCAACTTCTTCATTTCGCATGTGATCTTTATCGCATATGTCTCGCCCCTTCATACCTTGATTTTATAAATCCTTGATAACATATACCGGGTAGTAAGTGTTATTTTGGGATGCAATGGAGGAACACCTTGCAGTCACTTTTCATGAAATTTATAATTTTTATGAATCGGCGTGTTTGGTTTGGAGTTTGGTTTACATCACTATTTTTAATATTACAGTGGGTAAATAAATAATTATTTTATCAATGTTTCAAACCCATAACCATGGTAAAACTTATAGCGAAAGTGTTGTCTCCTGCACACACGCGGGAAGTGAGTCCCAATCGACGATAACAACGCGTGCAAAGGCTCATGGGTAGACGCTTGTTTGTAAACAGTGACACGCTATGGCCATCTGACGCATGCGCAGGTGACGACTTCCCCACTTTTAACCAAAACCTTTGAAATATACAGACCCTAACCCAACCTCAACCCTACCACTTTTGTGCAGTTAAAAATAGAATTCCTATGACAGGACTATAACCATCCTCTTAACTACACCTTTATCAATGAAACAGTCATAAATTAGATCTGTGAACATAGCAGGTTGGAAACAATGTGTGATATTTTTACTCTGTTTTGACATCAAAAATTTACAAAATTGTGACATCAAGAGAATTCTTAATTACTGACTCGACTTGAATAAAAACATAATCATTAGCAGATTCCTGACAAACACAGTGATATGCAAATTAAATCTAGTGTCACCTATTTTCAAACATTTGTACATGTAGTATTTGGGCTACAAATCAGTATTGGGCTGTTATCAGTTTATACAGTTATAATAAATAAATGTATAAATAAATCTTGGTGTTTGACACATAATTTGTTTTTTATAGTGTAACTTTGTAAAATTAGGTGTGTGAAAGCAACAGGTTTTGAAGTTCATACCTAGCATTTCCTAACTTAGTAACGGCTGATAAAACGCCAGAATTTTATAAGTAATGTTATAATTAAGATTTCGTAACAAATTACTGTGACCATGTGTATACTGTATGACTAACAAACTATTAAACCTAGAGGAATTCAATCGCTTCAATTTTTCCAACTGAAGTAGGGGGGAAGAGGGAGCATTTTACTTACAAA